GCGTCTGTCAATTAAGCAGTATTTACCTAAAAAAAGGAACCGTTTTGGCATAAAGCTCTTTGTATTATGTGATGTCCGAACTGGAATCATACTAGATTTTATTATTTACTGTGGTTTACAAACCGAAATAACACGTTTTGCAGATTTAGGTGTAAGTGGATCTGTTGTTGCAACACTTATAGAAAGATTTTATGGGACAAACCGAAAACTATACATAGACAACTGGTATTCGAGTCCCAAATTATCATTTTTTTTAAAGCAACATGACATTCATACATGTGGTACAGTTAACAAACACAGGTCTGGCATGCCTAAATTCAAGAAGTTGAAAAAGGGTGAGAAAGAAGCTAAATACTCTGATCCAATGATGGCTTTGAAGTGGTGCGATAAAAAAAATATACATATGCTAACTACCATTCATAAAGATGAAATGGGCCCGAGTGAAAAAATTGATAGATCTACGGGTTTGCCCACAATGAAACCGGAATGTGTAATTGATTACACAAAAAATATGGGCACAGTTGACACAGTAGACATGATGATAAGTAATGTACAATGTCTACGAAAAACAATAAAGTGGTATAAAAAGCTATTTTTTCACATAATTGATACCTATGCACTTATTAAATTCTTTCTTTATGTATAAACTTTTGAATGCCAATCGTCCCGGACATAAATTACGTTTGAAAATATTTCAACAGGCTGTAATACGACAAGTTATTCAAAAGTATGGAGGTCAGTCTGCATCTGAAGGCACAATTGCTCGGTCAGTTCCTGACCATCCCACACGGAATCTACCAGGTAATGCAGCAGCCCACATGCCCAATTATATACCAAATGGAAGAAAACTAAGATGTAAATTTTGCTCTTCTCGTGGTGCACGGAAAATCACACGTTTTATGTGCAACGTATGTAAAGTGGCTCTGTGCGTGGCGCCATGCTCGCAGCTGTACCATGGAGCAACACGTTTATACTGATCTTTTTAAATTTTTACGATTTGGGAGTTTTTAGACTGAGTTTCATTTCCTTAACTTTAACCGTAACTATAACCCGTGTTTTTGTATGGAGTTTGACAGACTTGACGTTTGCAAGTTGCATTGTACCTAATAAGAATTTTTCACCCGTATTCACTAACGAAGCTGGTTTAAGTGAAGCAGCAAATCGAACGCACAGCGTTGAATAGAGCTATGTGATTGGTTCATGTGTCACTCTGTGCGTCCACGAGCACCGTGAGACCTCATAGTAATATTTGTGAATACGGGTGTTTAATCATGTCAACAAGTAGCTGTACCTGCGACTTCGTATGTGAAAATAGTTTGAATAATATAATAATATCCCGTTTTTGCAATATTTTTCTTTACTTTACCGCCCTATTGGCTGTAGGGTGATGCTGCATAGCCTAAAACCCTCCTCGATAAATGGGTTATCCAACACAAAATAAAATATCAAATCGGACCAGTAGTTCTTGAGATTAGCGCGTTCAAGCAAACAAACAAACTCTTTAGCTTTATAATGTTATTATATTACTAGCTGTGCCCGCGACTTCGTACGCGTCAAAACCCGTTTTGCAACATTTTTAATTTTTGCTCCGCACCTATTACTCGTAGCGTGATGGTTTATAGCCTATTATATAGCCTTCCTCGATAAATGGGTTTTCTAACACTGAAAGAATTTTTCAAATCGGACCAGTAGTTCCCGAGATTAGCGCGTTCAAGTAAACAAACAAACAAACTCTTCAGCTTTATAATATTATTATAGAGTATAGATATTAGTATCCTACTAATATTTCCTACTAATATTATAAAGGCGAAAGTTTGTGTGAATGTATAGACACGTATAGATGTATGTTTGTTACTCTTTCACGCAAAAAGTACTAAACGGATATGGATGAAACTACAGTATCATTGTTTATAGAGTAACTAGCTTTTGCCCGCGGCTTCATCCGCCGTGAAATTTCGTTTGCCACAGATCGTCATAAATTATAGTCTATAAGTTATTCTGGGTTATAAACAACTAGCTTTCCGCCCGCGGCTTCGCGCGCGTTGACTACATTATCTACATATTTTACGGAACCCTATTTTTTCCAAAATAAAATTTAGGCTATTTACTCGTGGATAATTCAGCTTTCGAATGGTAAAAGAATTTTTAATAACGGTCCAGTACTTTTTGAGCCAACAACCACAACCAAACAAACTAAGTTTTCCTCTTTATAATATTAGTGTAGATAATACTGTAAAGTATCATCAAAATCCGTTCAGTAGTTTTTGCGTGAAAGAGTAACAAACATCCAGACATCCAAACTTTCGCATTTATAATATTAGTTTATAGAGTAACATAAAGGCTATAATGACGATCTGCGGGCGTTACTATTTCACGCGGGCGAAGCCGCGGACAAAAGCTAGTAGATTATAATATTAAGTATAGGATAGATTCATCGATATAATAATTATGTATTTTTCCAACTCTATTTTTGATAAAAAACACTTATTTGGGGAAGCCGTAGACAACTATAGTTGCCAAATAGTGTTGTGAACGTTACCTTGTAATCACATGAAAATTTAGAAGGTTTTTATTTTTTTCTTATTGTATTTTATAGATTAGAAATAAAATCTGTTCGAAACTGTTATGAAATTGTGTTTTATTGCAGTTCAGTTCGTAGTTATTACTGTTAATCACCCCAAATTCCAAAAATTACCTAAATAATACTTGNTTTTTTCTTATTGTATTTTATAGATTAGAAATAAAATCTGTTCGAAACTGTTATGAAATTGTGTTTTATTGCAGTTCAGTTCGTAGTTATTACTGTTAATCACCCCAAATTCCAAAAAATACCTAAACAATACTTGTGGATGTCCCATCACTAGAGAAATCACTATCACAGGAAATTTTACTAAGCTTGGCGTCGGGCGTGAAGTGACGTAAAAAGGGGCTGGCGTGCAAAAGGTTAATAGANAATACTTGTGGATGTCCCATCACTAGAGAAAATCACTATCACAGGAAATTTTACTAAGCTTGGCGTCGGGCGTGAAGTGACGTAAAAAGGGGCTGGCGTGCAAAAGGTTAATAGACCCATCACAGGGCAGAACCAATATGTCTTCAAGACAAGTTCAGACCAGAGAGTTGTTTTGGCCCTTATCCTTTAGAGTCCCCATAGACTACAGGCTTATATCCGCTGATAGTTTGGTCGGCTTCAAAATTGTATGAGGAAGTTATGTGCACTTGCTCATGCTGATTTATTAAACTATCGGCCGATAGTCAGTCTACGAGAACTCTGTGGATATTTTGTCGCAGCCCTATAAAACTAGGAGCACGAGTTTATGCGTGATGCTGAGCTTAATGAGATGTAATTACTGCAGAGATTGGAGAGCAAACAGCGTTACGGCCGATAGCGGGACACGTGTGTAACCCATAAACGAGGGTTCAGATAAGCCATGTGTACGAGCAAACTGCAGGAGATCAATATAATATTTACTGCAGGTGTATAGTCCCCCAGTAAGAAGCTTAAGTGCTGAGGAAAACGTGCGCAGAATATTTGAACTTCTGATGCATTACCAAATACCCTCCTTCCTTCTTCTTCTTCTAAAAAGGTGCTTTTATGGACCGATAACTAAGTAGTCATCATAAAAATTAACCCAAGTGGATTAAATAGTTAATTTATTTTACAAGAAGTAAAAGACGCTCAAAGCTATTCAACATTTTGGGTGAACTCTCAAGATCCGTTTGCGCGTTGTTGTGGTTTATTCTATGAAATCCTGAAAGGATTTTGGGTTAAAGTGGCCCAGAGTCTGCCATTGACCATTGCGTGCGTGATTTTGGATAGAAGGAACACCTATCACCTATTCTTTTATATTATCCTTTCGCGTAGAATATACTTAGGAAGATGTAATATCGTAATGAAAAGCGAAAGCCTTTAGAATCGCGTCTTCTCTATAGATTTTTTTATTATTTGTATCTTACCAAATCTTGCGAGATTGAAGTGCCTTTACGCTACTACGCTGACCGCTACACAACAATGCTCGATTTAAATTAATACCTAATTAAAAGTAAATAAACAATAATAGCATTGGTGGAGATAAAATTGGTGGTTTACGTCAATAATCACGGGCACCAGCAGTGACGGTGCCGTATCAGTAGGCCCAATCAGAAATTAAAACGTGACCCTCACCGTTCCGGGTCACCAGGATCGAGTGGCTTATTAATTTTATCTCAAGTGTGGTAGCCATTTTTTGCTGGCGCCAGTCTTTTAGCACGCGTTCACGAGATGATCTCAAAACATTGATAATATGAAGAATAAAAAAGAGGGCTGGGCTTTTTCATTGTGATGTGCAGAAGATATACGGTAGTATCTAGTAGACACCCTAGTCAACTGACATACTTTTTAAGACTTAACAAAACGAATCTCCCATAGGGAGTGTTATGACGTCATAAATCCTCATTGCCACAGTGGCAATGAGGATTTATGACGTCATAAGGTCGCAAATTGATTGCCAATTTATTGATTTCAAAGCTACTGAAATCAGTGTGCCCTCAGTGGCGAAAAAGCACAAGTCCATCGCCATCAACAAAAGAAGAAGCTACTGAAAATATATTTAGGAATAGAAATCATTTTAAGTTGAGGCTTAGCAAAAGGAAAATTCAGTAAATATTAATATTAATATTATTATTATTAACAGTAGAGATTAAAAAGTTTATTTACTGATTTTTTGATTACTTTTAACCACAGTACACATTTCGGCGTATTTATTGCGTTACTGATACACAAAATTCCTTAAAAACAGACTAAAAAGATTGAAATAACTTCATATTCATCACAACTTAGTATAAAAACAATATTTTTACTCACAATTTCAATTTAACAGATGAATTTGAAACTTTAACACTTGTAAAAGAGGCACTGTATCTACTTAAAGATAACAAAAAAAACATAGGTACTTGAGCAAACCATATAGTTACTAACAAAAAACTAGATTGAATGCCAAGTTCATATCTTTGAAAAGCTATCAATAGATATTATTGAAAATAAACATACAAAAGGTTTTCAACTCTGTTACATTAGACATGCAAATTGGCATGTCAAAACTCATTAAAAGAAACATGTTTCACATTACAACTGGCAATAAGTAGCAAATATTTAGCTAGTTTACATTCCATTAAGTACATACATATCTAGAATACTTAGGTATACAGATAAGATAACATGCAAGCTCATTATATGAGCAAATCATTAGCTACATTCATCTAATTTTTCTGTATTTTTTCCAAAAGCAACTCCAATCGTCCAGTCATAACTGGCTGTCCTTTTTTAGTTTTTCGGCTCAACTTCTTAAATCTCTCTTGCTTTTTCTTTTTATATTCATGCAACTTCTGTTTCTTTTCTTCTTTAGCTTTTTCTATGTCCTGCTGCTTCTGCGCTTTTTCTTCTTTGACCTTGTTGAACTGTTCTTTGGCCCTTTGAAATGGGTCCTTTTTAGTGAACTTTGGATTTTTTTCTTCGTTGACTTTATCCATTAGGTCTGGATGTCTAACAAATCTTCCTACTTCAGCAGAGTCAGTGGTATCTTCGTCAAAACCTTTCGGTTTATAAGAACCAACTAATGTATCATTTTTGAGATCCTTCTGGTATTCTCGTAGCAATTTCTTCTTCCGTTGCTCTTCCCATTGCTCCAACTTGTATTTTTTACTGTACTTCTTTAGACGGTAGGTCTTTTTATCGAATGGCTTCTTTTCACCATCTTTATTTGAATGTTCTTCTATGCCACGGCCCTTATCAAACTGCTCTTGTCGCTTGTTGTTAAATTCTTTTTTCCTATTAAAACCTTTATGTTCAGGTTTATTATTGAAACCACCCTTCTTTTCATTTTTCTTATCGAAGCCATTTCTGTTGCCTTTATTCTTGTTCAAGAAGAATGAGTCCCGTTTATGTTCCATTGCTTAGGTAACGTGTCACACCTATAAAGAAATGGAAAAGCGTGTTTGATAACAATACGAGACAAAATAATTAGATGTAATCATGCAATATAATAATTAAGGTATATTTACATTGCTATGTAGTGTGCAGAGCTAATGATAAATTTGTATACGACTTCTGTCTCATACAAATGTCATACGGCTGCACACGCTACGTATCAATGTGAGTATACCTTTAACAAGCTATGTTTTGCTTCAGTAAATTCAAGAATTTGAACAAGATTTATAATAATTGGAATGTATTATTTTAAAACACGCTGTTACATTTCAAATATTATTTATGTAGCTTGCTTATAATAATGTAAAATAATTATCTTAAAAATTACTATTTGAAAATGTGTCTGGTTTTACTGTTGTAATAGAGTATTTAAACTTATTTTTATCACAGAGTACATAACTATTATGTGTAACATTGTTCAATTTACTCAATATGAAAGCTATTAGTATAAATAAATAAGAATAAATACAGCAGATAATGATGGCAATTTAGTGAACTATTTACTAAATTAAGACCTCTTCTTATTTATCTTCTTTTAGAATAGTCAGATGAATACAGAAATTAAACACTTACTAAACTAAAATGTTTAAAAAGCCTCTAAAATGGTATAATTTTATGGTTTATTTAGTAGCAGTTCTTAATCTAAATAGGTTTTACTTAAGAAATCTAAAGAATACATGAAATTCCTTGATATTTTTGCAATATTATATATTGTTATAGCATTACAGTCTTATTAATTCAACAAGCTGTTCAACCAACTACTTTTTATTTCGTCATGGTAGGGAGACAATCAGAGCAATTGGTCATATTCAGGACTGATTGTTGAAAAGGTCAAAGGTCAACTGGGGCAAGTGAACCCATGTAAGTACAGTATGTTAAAGGTTTTTTTTGTTCAGTAGACTAATAATACATAATTAAATTGCTATGCTAAGGAAGATATGAGTATTACAGTTCATAGACTGATCAGATAAACATAATATTCTAAAAATAAATACCATATAAATACGCCAAAACCAAAGAAATGAGCAGTCATTATGTACGACGTTAATATGTATAATTTCCTTGAAGTTAAAGGCAATTTTACAACATGTCCGATCGTATCATACTGAAAATGACGTCAGTTTAGATTTCACACGGTTGTGCTGTGAATCAGGCAATTTGTTTGAACAAATGTTTTAGGCTAACAAAAGACAGTTTTCTTTACTATAAAGAATATATTTTTAGGTCAGACCCACAGCTATAGACGAGACTTTTAGAGGAATGACGAGGACAGAGCTCCGATTTCATAATAATTATAGTAACATTGGGTTAGAAAAGACCGAAGCGTTCGTTTTACAATCAGGAGAAGTCAATTGATATTTAACAGTAAATGTAGTCAATGAAATGCGTGCGAATTAATGAAAATGTGCAAGGACTTACCAAGATAAGCCACCCTCTGGGTAGGCTTTGAATTATCGGCGGAATCTTGATTGTTTAGTTGCACTTGGCACGTAAAAACTTAACCACGATTACGGATTTTGTTTTACGGTTTTTCGTGTGAAAAACTTTATCGACCATGCCCTTTAAGCGATTTTATTTAATAAATTTCACTGCGAAACACGATGGACGTTTCGCAAAATGTCACAAAAGGACCGACAGCAGGAAGGAAACGCAAGACGTGCGCTCGCTACGCCATCTACTCCGTGTCAAATCATTCTGAAATTACATTTTCAATCGATGAAACGGAACATGCGCACTCCAATTCCATGATTAATTAATAAACCGACGATAATTTAATTGAGTTTATTAAAACAAAATAAACTCTGGTTTGTTTTATATTTTTATAGGGGTTTGCTATTTTATTTTAAGCTCTTTTTCACGAATTTTAAAATATTTTTTAACCTACATGCGTAAAACGAAACGTGATTTACTTACATCCTGCCATCTAGTGGAATGTAAAAGAATTAGTCATCCTAAAAAAACTTTTGTATTTTTCAGGACCAGCAGATGGCGCTTCACAGCTTTTGAACTAGCGACCCGGCGAACTTCGTACCGCTTTTGAAAATATTTTTCAGCCTATGTTAATTACTGATGAACTGTAATTTGATAATTCAACAGACATACCGTAGAACTCCTAATGCTGAAAGAATTTTTCAAATTGGTCCAGTTAGTTTCAAATCAAAGCCTTTCTTTGAAAGATAAAGCATTTATATTTCTTTCCTCTTTAAAATAATAGGTACCTACCCTTTAGTAAGGTAAGTACCTACCTAGGTAAGTACCTACCTAAATTCATAAGGTAAGGTAGGTACCTACATACCTTTGTTTGGCTAACAAGAATATGATATTAAATTATTGACTACCATTCCACTTCCACATCCACTGAGGGCTTCCATCAAGGAATAGTGGTAGTGGAAAGTAGTGGTGGGACATGTCAACGTTCGCAATACTTAGCCGCGGTCGAGCGCGCCGGATTGGGTTACGGCGGCAACTGAACGTAGGGTACACTGGCCAAGAAAATCTATTAAATAAAAATAACAGAATCTTTCACACATCTATACTAATATTATAAATGCGAAAGTAACTCTGTCTGTCTGTCTGTCTCTCTTTCACGCCTAAACCACTGAACCGATTTTGATGAAATTTGGCATAGAGATAGTTTGAGTCCCGGGAAAGGACATAGGATAGTTTTTATCCCGGTTTTTGAAACAGGGACCCGCGCGATAAAGTTTTTCTGTGACAGACAAAATTCGAAGCCGCGGCAGGCCTGTATTCATCTCTGCGAGTTTGCATCGAAAACAAAACACGCGCGACTACCCCTCCTGAGATACCAAATCGACAGGACAATCACGAGCGAGTATTGACGCACGCACGTATTCTTCACCCATTTGCATTGTAAAGACATTAAACCATATGTAAAAACGGTGGTGCAATTAATACTGTGCAGTATTTTTTTACTGCCTGAATAATATTAGAAACACAAAATATAATTCATGCTTATTCATGTATTTCCTCCGCCATTTTTCGCAGTTTGGCACCGCACGTCACACATCATTTTACCGAAGTCAGCCCTATGTCTTCGGCGCAGTACCGATCACTGACGTTTGTCAACAAAATGGTGCTCGACTCTTGAGACAAGCTAAATTACACCATATTGTTAACGACATTGAGCATACATTTTTTTAAATAACTACCTTCGCGAAGAAAATCTTCTGTACGAAGTACTTATTATTATTCTGTGGCCGCGGGCAGAAAGCTAGTAGTATCAGTATAAGTAGTCTTGAATCTTATGCAATTCTACTAAATTCTTGTAACTCTCTAAAGTTCTCGAGTGGCGTCCACAGACGGACAGAAAAAAACGGCGTGGGCAGGCCTCCTACTCGATGTACCAACACAGACTGTGTGTACCAAAGAAAGATCTATTAAAGGACGACGCGGGAAGCACCCGGATGTGAGCAACGCAGGACCGGTCGTAGTGCAAATCTTGTCTGGCTTTTTTCCAACGTTGAAACAAATCTGACTAGAGCAGCGGTTCCCGAATGGTGGTCCGCGGAACCCTGGGGTTCCGTGGAAAGGCCGCAAGGGTTCCGTAAAAAATATTATCCCACGTTTCGTGACCGACGTTGTTCGCTCGCACCGACTTGTTTACGCACAAAGGAGGGGCAGGGCGTGCGGGCGGAGTAGTACGGGGGTTCCGCTAGGAAAAGTATAATCAATTAGGGTTCCTTGGCAAAAAAAAATTGGGAAACCCTGCTCTAGGTCTAGAGTACCCAGGTAGACAGAAAGCATGCTTTTCCATCATGTAGTGGCATGAGTCAATCGTTCCATTTAGCACCACCACCTCCATCGATATTGAATGTAAATTGACTCAATCGGGAATCGAAGCTGAAACCGCTTTTAAACATCGCTCCACCGCGCATTGGGGCTGCAGCAAAACTTGTGAAGCTTCCCTAATCCATATGCCAATGACTTCCAAGTCTCCAAGCAATGTGTGCGCGACTGTACTGCACAGTAGATTGGATTCATTAGGGTCTCCTATTAGGTTCTAATCCGAAGAATAGACAGTCCATGTCCGCCGTTTGGACGGCTAGGACGAGCCAAAACTGGTTTCGTGACCTATTTATACTCGGACCAAATAAGTGAACTGTGATGGTGTATTATAATCTAATTAATGCAAATTAGGAAGTGGAAAAGTGCAGTTTTATAACCATGTTAATGAAGTATAAACAGATTTATAACTAAAACACTTAAAAGTGATTGTTACGACCCATAAAAAGGTAAGTAAATGGGTTAGTAACGAAACGTTAATAAAAATAAAATATAATGTTAAATAGTTTTTTACATGAACTTGTGTTATAGACCGGTTTAACTACATTTTAAGTAGATACAAAACTCGGTTTAGAACATACTTTCTTACATTTATCTTTTTAATATATTATTATTGTTATTTTCTGACCTTTAATAATTCTGTGCACACCGAATTGTTTCTTAAAACAGTAGCATAAGACATAAATTTAACTTGCGGCAATTGGAAGGCGCTGGAAGCAGGCCGCTACCAACCGGCCAATCTGGAAATAATTGGGGAGCCTATGTTCAGCAGAACAAATCCTATGGCTGAAATGATACTGATGTAAGCACCTAATAACCCAGGAAATTATCATAATCCTAGGTACCCCACTTTCCACAATGAAGCTCCCTCTTCTGCACGCGGACGGAGCTGGTAGCTCCAAGAAACCCAGCACAATCATGAGCCGCCATGATGAGTACTCTGTGGGCGAAACCACTGGCGGTCTCAGTGTGCTGTTCACGGTGCTTTGTATCGTGGACCTATTCGGAGTATTCCCAGTGGTGACACTGCCGAAGAGCATTATATCTTGCGGTAAGAATGAGCAATGTGAATTTTAATAATTTTATTTACCTAAGTAATAGATAGTACGCAGAATGAAGATAGGGCAGCAAGGTTCTGGAGTGGAGGCCGCATACCGGAAAACGCAGCGTGGAACCACAAGGTGGACCGACGAACTGATAAAGGTAGCAGGAAGGCGCTGGATGAAGGCCGCTACCTACCAACCGTGCGACGTGGAAGTCATTGGGGGAGGCCTATGTTCAGCAATGGACGTCCTGTGGCTGAAATGATGATGATGACCAAAGCAATACTAAGGATAAGTAGCCTTATTCACGTAACAAAACTTCAACGACAACAATACACTGTGTTGCGATCCTATCGAGTAAACAATCGTTCTATCAAAATGAATACGGATTCGCCGCCGCTGCTTCACTGGTTGGGTTTTTATTGGCGGTCTTGTCAAGCTGTAGATCCTGGCTAAATGGCTACACAGTAGTTGCAGCGGTGGGAACGAGAGGTGGGAATAGTCCCGTTTCTTTCTAAACCTTCGATGAATCTTGCAGGGATATACGGCGTCCCACTGGTGCTGTCGGTGTTCGCCCTGCAACTCTACACGGCGATGCTGTTGGGACGCAGCTGGCTGCTGGCCCAGCAGATCACGCCGAGCATACGGGAGAAGAGCCGGTCAGTATTTCAGGAGGTTCAAATTAATCATAAAGACGGTTTCTAGGTATATTTTTGTAACGGACCGAAATTGATGCTGTAAACTACTGTAAAGGATACTTATTCCCTGTATGAAGTTACGGATACTTTTCATGGTCATGTGACCTTCTTACTTAAAGGGTAAAATAACCGTATAAGGAGTGCTCCCACCTACTTCCGTCAGCCAAAAGGTTTACCAAGGATTTGTTTTAAAGTTTTACACCAAATGGCCCAACTTCAGAAATGTTCTAGATAAGTAGTACCATAGTAGATAATAATGATAGGTAGTACCTACATCTTTACAAAAGGGTACTTTCTTTCCAGTTTTCCCTACGCTGCAGTAGCTGAACTAGCTTTCGGGAAGCAGACCAGACGGCTGGTCACCTTCCTTATTGATGCCACTGTCTTCGGTGCTGGGATACCCAACTTTATCCTCGGTAAGTAAGGTCGGATTTAGCTTGAAATACCAAGGTGTATTTTTAAGTCGCCTTAAGAAGTAATAAAATTTTATAGTATTTTATTTTTAACTCGTAGCCTGTTTCTAAAAGAAACAATCGTGCCATATTATATTTGCTTACTTAATTGAAGAATTAGCATTAATACGGTATCAATAGTTAATTTATTACACCTATGGCTCGTGTTGGTCATCTGCCATTAGATTTTATGACCATAACAGGTTATTTATGCACTAAAACTAAAGAATTGTCCATTGAAATCCAGTTCCAACCAGAATATACGATTTTATGTTAGGTTGATAAGATTTCATATTGAAGGCATATGATGACATGCACATAATATGCAATGCAATAAATTCAACATTGCGCAATGCAATTGCAATATTTAAAGTCCTCAAAAGTATTTCCAATTCCCAAACAACGCAAAAATAGGCGATAGTTGATAAGATGAACTCGCTTCCTCCACCAGAATTACTGCGTTCCTTTTCTCTATTCATCATCATCATCATCATCATTTCAGCACAGGACGTCCACTGCTGAACATAGGCCTCCCCCAATGACTTCAGTGCCTTCCTGCTACCTTTATCAGGTCGTCGGTCCACCTTGTGAGTGGACGTCCCGCGCTGCGATTTCTCTTTAAACTCATTCTTTTTTCTTTATAACTTTATGTCACGTCGTCGTAGTTCCGAGAGATTCAATAAATACGA